TCATCAGTGAGTTTTGCCATTCTCCGCACCAAGCTACGAACTCGTCAAAGAGACAAGTTAAGTCAATCCCCCGACAAATATTCTGCCGAAAACGGTTACACTATCACTCCTCTTTCTGTCCTGGCCTATTTATAGACTACCCTCTTATCCCACTGCCGCCACATCACAACTTCTCACTTGTTTACATTCTACTCGTCAAAATTTGTGCCATTTTGTGGTAAATCTAGTGTGGCCTCATCACACTTGCTACTTACCTCGACCCCATCACTTTCGATCGGCTGATCCGACTCGGGCCTCCAATCCGGATCCCCTCATTGCCTCGTAGATCCATTCCTTCGCTTTCTGGTTGACCGATTTTACTCGGTTCCAGTCCCAGTGTGCATTTCACTCCAGGCGCTATTTCTCAAGGCCCTAGAAGCACGTACACTACCGCTTCACTGAACAGAGTGCCTAAACTCTGATTCCCATGCTTGCAGATATCAGGCCTTTCTTTCACGAGTCCGTTCCTTGATCAAACCCACGTTATATGAGCAAACTGAACGTCTATCCCTGGTCGCATGCGGCATCTCAAGTGAATTTCTAGTACGTTTCGGACATAACGCCGAATTTCTCTGACGTCTTGCTTATCCATCTGCCCAGCTCCCAAAGTTGTACTGGTTTATTCGAAATGGACATCACTCACTGACAACGTCTTTGCTTTATTGCTGAAGACCCCTGCCCCAACTTTATTCATCGTATCCATTTTCCTTCCGTTAGTGATAAATCCTTGATCCAGACGTCTCCTTTTTGCTGGTCTTGTTCTATTCTTGTTTTCCTCGAGTTTGCTTATGCGGTAGGCAAAGTTATCGCTAACTCTACCTTCCTCCAATCTCTTATTCATTATATTTTTCTCCTCAAAGATGTCAATGGCCTCACTAATATTCTGCTTCCTTGTGTTGTCACTGAATGAGGCTCTTCTTTCTGTTGCCTTCTAATTAATCTGGTGTCCTGACAACATGACCAAGTTGCGACAACGAGGTCAACGCACTTCCATAAATCTAAAAGAGACTGCGACCACACCATCTTCGTCTTCATATCTTCAATTAATGTATTTACTCTGCATACTTTGATACTGATTGCAAAATTCCTCACATCATTGACACATGCACAGTTCTGTAGTCTCATAGACTTCCCTAGGTGCAACGCACATTCTGTGAAGTTTGTTACTTCTCTGTACTGAGTCATGACATTCACGTCCAATCACAACACCCGCTTTTACATTTCACGAGAGATTTCGGCTAGGTGCTCAGCCGTCAAGGAGCATGGCAACCAGATTACGTGACTGGCCGCACGACTGAGTAGGTCATTAGACTAAAACTTTTACGCCTCAATCTTATTTATGGTGCAAGTTCTCTGATCATAAAGTCAGCGCAGACAACTCCATGTGTTTCGCTTCTCTCGAATAGATCTCCATCACTTGATAGTCTACATCTTTCTTATTTACTTTGCATATAAATAATGTAGTTTGTAGTAATACAAAATTATCAGTAGATTTTGAATGACTAATTCAATCAACCTCGGTCATTCTAGGTGATTCAGGGACTGGCAGTTTGATTTGAAACAATAAAATGTATCTGCCTTAGGATGTCAATGAATTTCACTCAAGCAAACACGTGGTAAAGTGCAATTTTTAAGGCTTTCTTCTTGTTTGGAGAGGCGGAAGGAAGTGACCCACAGACAAAACTTGATGGAAATCCTCCAGCCTGTCGTGAAACCAGGTTGTCAATGTTTTATACTCAGCCCTACCAAACCAAATAAAAATTATGAAAGTTCAACTTTTCTCTGTTCACGCACTTTCAATTCGTTCGAAGAGGGATTCTTGAAGTGTTCCTATTGGAAGCCGAAGAAGTTATGACTTCTCGATTGTACAAAACGTATCTCGACTTAAGGCCTGCGTGTTGAGCTTCCGTTTATCTCGTTGTGGCAGACATCGCCAGAGCTGGATCTGGAGTTTTAGTTACGTCCTCGTAAATGATGATTTCTGGCTCTCACTATGTCTGCCATGACGAGACAGACGAGATGCTCAGCACGCACGACGGTAAATCGAAGCAGTGACAACTTCAGGCTCCTCCTCCGGCTTCCGATGAGGCCAAGCTACTAATCTCTTTTACTCCCTTTTTTAAACGAAACGAAAGGTAAGCTAGTATCACTCTTTGAAGGGACTCTTCTCAAATGAAGTCTCACCTTCCTTCTGCCTCACTCAGGCAATGAATAAAAGCTGGCTTTCGAAGGATTCCTTAGCAATGTTGGAGTACCTTTCATTTCGTTTGAAAAGGCGAGTGGCAGGGATTCGTACGTTGGTTCCACCGGAGGCTGGGCGCGGTTGCCTTTGAGCTGTGGTAGTTAATTTGTCCGAATAGGTCCTCGGCCCGCCGCCCTGCGATCCCGATCAATCCTTGCTAAGTTGTCCGTCATGTGACGGACATCGTCAGAGCAGGACACCATTGCTAAATATAATTAACTCAAAACACAAAGGCAATAAAAGTTGTCGGCTCTGACAATGTCCGTCGCATGATTAATCTGGGTCGCAGGGTGGTGCGCCGAGGACCTATTCGGACAAATTAACTACCACAGCTCCAAGGCAACTCCCACAGCCCTTGGTGGAACCAACTTACGTATCCTTTCCACTCGCCTTTTCAAACGAAATGAAAGATAGAAGTTGTTTGACCTTGTATTCGCAACTCGGTCATATTGGTAGGAAGACTTGAAGAAACGCACCTAGTTCGGAGTCCATTGTATGCATCATCGTTTCCAGAGTAGGACCGTGGACCTGGTACATTTCCGGCATCGTAGTCGGCATCGTCAGTGAGTATCGCCATTCTTAGCACCACACAACAACTCGTCAAAGAGACAAATTGTAATAGTGAAGGTGTGATAGGAGGGAGGGCAGAAGGGGAGCTACCACAATTGTTTATCACACGTTTGGTCAAAGGATGGGCTTCACTTGTCTTTTTGACGAGTCGTTGTGTGGTGCTAAGAATGGAGATAATCACAGACGATGCCGACGAAAGGTCTGGGAATGTACCACGTCCACGGTCCGACTTC